AATTTTCCTAGATTCATACTTCGTACATTCCATGTTCCAGTTATTAATGGATGTTTACAACTGTTTCTCTTCATTTTGATTTGTGCCCCATCAACAAGTGAAGGTCCCAAGTGCTTTACTCCCACAGGCTTTACTCCATTAGCGTCATCACGGTCAACTCTACTTTGAGGAGGCAACTCTTCCCCAGTTGCATTTTGAGTGTCTTCCAACATGAGGGACTAATTTTCTTGCACTATATCTGACAGTGTTTCTCCGCTATTCATAAAGTTTTCAGTGACTAAGTATTTGGAAGTAGTTTGTCACTCCTTCTTCCTAGTCTGTCTTCATCTGGAAGCTCATTTGAAACCTGTCCACTGTGAGTGATCCTGCTGGTATTTAAAATACATGTAGCATAGCTTCCAAAATCACAGGAACTCATAAGCCACCACAGTATGACAAACTGACAGACGAATGGTGGTGCTGTTGTGTAGAGAAGGTAAATTCTGAGGTTAGGGATAGAAGTTTGAAAGATGAATGGTATTTCTTGATCTAAAATATGAAGTTGGGAACAGGAAGAAGTTTCCATCCTTTGGGGAGGTCTGTCTTGGTGTCTTAGTACTGCTATAACAGAACTACCACAGTGGGTGACTTTGTTGAACAGAAATTAAATTTCTTACAGTTTATGAGTCTAGAAGTTTGAGTTCAGGGTGTCAGCTTTACAGGAAGTCTCTGTCTGTCAGCTGTGATGGAAAATCCTTGTCTCTGCTTCTTCTTGGCATTCATGATCTCCACGTGGTATTGGTCTTGTCCCATCTGTGCTTTCTTGTTTCAGAGCCGATTCTGCTCCTTTTATAGCTCACCCTACACTAATATGGCCTCATCAATACAGTGAAGGGACTCTTAGTCTCAAATGGGATTGCGTGCAAATGTATAGGGATTAGGATAGCAACACATATTTTGGGAGACACAATTCAATCCATAATGGAGTTCTAATATAAATATCCATTAACATAGGGCTGAGGGGGGCTGCTGAGCACTGCCAGGAGATCTCAACGAAGGGACCCACTATAAAAGACTCTTGTGGCTTGCTTTCCCAGGTGGTAATTCTGTGCCCCTACACTGGCATCCAACAGACCTTCCCTTGCAGGAACTGGCTGGATGAGAAAAAGGCGGATGGGTTAATTGAGAGGCAGCTCTATGAGATGGTGTCTCTCAGGATGAAGAGGCTGAAAAGTAAGTCCAGGGATCCCAGTATGTCAGTCCACTGAGCAAGAGCTCCAAGGGGGTATAACCTGGCTTCTCATTTTTCTTCCTTTAGAAACAAGGTGGAAAGGGTCCCCTAAGGAACTAATTTCTCCAAGGTAGGGTCCACATAAACTACACAATCTGGTGTCTAGGCTAATGTTTCAGTGTCCCCAAATATAATAAGCTGCTGCGAGGTTCTAGATGTGACATGGAAATGTTCAAAATAATGTCCTCTGCATGAACAGGACATAGGAAGATTGGTGTGAACTCATTCCCTTATTTAAAACTAAACTAATGAGTTTCAGCCATTAAAAAGGAAAGTCAAGGTGTACAAATTATTGATAGGAAGAAATCCTTGGTGCTGTTGTTAAGTTCTGTTGAGTCAGTTCTGACTCACAGCGACCCTGTATAGGGAGCGGCTGGGTAGCTTGATCTGCTGGCCTTGAAGTTCAAACCAATCTTGCAGTTCAGGGCATTAGCCTGCAGCACCACACCAGGCACTCCACACCAAGACTGGTGCTGTCAAATTGATTGTGATCCATAGCAACCCCATGTTCAACAGAACAAAACACTGCTCAGTCTTGCACCGTCCTCAATCATTGTTATGTTTGATCCCATTGTTGTAGCCACTGTATCAAACCAACCTGTTGAGGGTCTTCCTCTTTTTTGCTAACTCTACTTTACAAAGCATGATGTTTCTCCCTAGGAACTGGTCCCTCCTGACAGCATGACAAGATGAAGTCTTACCATACATGCTTCTAATGAGCATTCTGGCTATGCTATTCCAGTTTAGCTTCCTAAATTTGGCACAGGTCATAGTGGGTTTCTGACAGCAAGACTCACCTATATGTAACCTACCCTTCAGTGCTGATCTCCTTGAATTTGTCCCTCTTCCTTATTGCTTACACAACAATCTCTTCACTTCTTAAAGTTTATGGGGCAACAATCTGTCTTTGTAGAATTTCCTTGGTCCCTGTGGGTCTGGACAACTGATCTGAAGAAAGCTGGTACCAACTCTCCCATCTACATCCAGGTTTATGGGAAGAGGGGGCGCACAGATGAGATCCTCCTGAATCCCAACAACAAGTGGTTCAAACCTGGCACAATTGAGAAGTTTACGGTAGGAACAAAGTATGGTGAGGTGGGAGGGAAGGAGGATGAAGAGGTAGGAGGTAATTTTCATTGGGAATTACCATTTCTAATGGGGGATTCCAGTGTTTTTCATGGGGCATTCTGGTTTTCTCAAAGTCAAATTTGGGCTACTTTTGGAAAAGAGAAAGGGTATAATGAAGACATTAGGACCCTGCAAGGAATGATAGATTTGATAATTTATAAGCAATGCATTCATTGAATGGGAAATTTAGATCTGTTTGTAAGTCTTTTAAGAAGCCCTAGTGATACCACAGTTAAAGCACTTGAAAGCTTGGCAGTTTGAACCCACCAGCTGCTCCTCCAGGGGAAAGCTGTGTCAGTCTGCTTTTGTAAAGATTGTTGTTGTTGTTAAGTGCCAGCGAGGTGGTTCCAACTCATAGCACAATCCTGTATAGGGTTTCCAAGGAGCGACTGCTGAGTTTGAACCATTGAACTTATGGTCCAGTGCTTTTCCCATACCAGGACTCCTCTGTAAAGATTTGAAAATCCTTTGGGGTTGCTATAGGCCCAGTGTGAGTCAGAATCTATTTGGTGGCATCTGGATCCTTCACCATTGGCACAAACTCACTGCCCCCTAAGGTTCCTATCTAATCTTATGAGTTGCTGTTATCAGTTTGATACCATAGTGATAGATCTTTATAAAACAGCCTTGGGGAGAAAACAAGTATGTCATCGTCCTGGACATCCAGGGAATTGTAGCACCAAGCCCCTGAGCACAATTGGTGCCAAATGGCCTAATCTGGACTGAGTTGTTGGCAAGTTGGAATTTAAGGGACTGTGGGACTTTCTGAGCATTTGAAAAGAAATTTAGATTTTAAACTTTCTGGTACATATACTACTAAAGCAAAGCTTGTTTTACCAACAGAAATGCTGCTTTGCCTTTGTTGTTGTTAGTGTCATCGAGTCAGTTTTGAGCAGTTGGTGGGTTTGAACCACTGACATTGCTGTTAGCAGATCAGTGCTTTTCCTATAGCATCACACCTGGCTTTGTTGTTGTTGTTGTTACGTGCTGTGGAGTTGGTTCTGACTCATAGCGACCCTGTACAGGATTTCCGAGGCTGTAAATCTTTATGGGAGCAGAAAGCCTCATCTTTCTCCTGCTGAACAGCTGGTAGTTTTGAACTGCAGACCTTGAGGTTAGCAGGCCAGTTCACAACCACTATGCTACCAGAGACACCTGGCTTTAGGTAGGAATTATTTGTAAAGAGACGCATGCCCCAAAGCCAGCCTCTTTTCAGAGCGCTGCTCTTTATGTGTTTGTCTTCCCTGCTAGACTGTGTTGTTGTTGTTGTTAAGTGCCATCCAGTTGGTTCTGACTTATAACAACCCTGTATAGGGTTTCCAAGGAGTGGCTGGTGAGTTTGAACTGCTGACCTTGTATCTCGAACTGATTTTGTGGTCCAATGCATTATCCCAGAGCATCACACCAGGACTCATGAGCCCATGGGGAAAGGGCAGGATGTTGATCTTGGGAGCTGGTTCTTTGCCCAACAGATTCCTGGGCCTGTGGGCTTGGGCTAATTTGTGTGGCTGCCATATGAATTTTGTTACTGAAACTTTATTGTTTGGAGACTCTTCATAGAGCTGGATCCCACTGTGGATCAATTATTTTTGCTCAATTTCACCAACTCTACATTGACGTCTTGCCTTCACATGCTAGTAATTACAAGAGGTAGGAGAGAATAGAATGTGTGTAGGTGGTTTGAAGCAAACCCATCCCCACTGCTGAAAAACAACACTGAGCAGGTACCCTCCTGGCAGCAGTGACGATGGACACATCTCACTTGCTCCTGCCTACTTAGGTCTTTTTATTTTTCACCACAGATTGAGATCCCAAATCTCGGCATGTTTTATAAGATTCGGGCATGGCATGATAAAAGGAGTCCAGGTTCTGGATGGCATTTAGAAAAGGTGAGATACACCATCTTGGGGGTGGAAGGTAGTTGGAAGAGGAATTAAAATGGTCTATTTTTAATGACCCTGTCACATAAGCTTGCTTCTGAATTTAATGTGAGCAGGGATAGGGTGCTCATATGGATG